GTGACAAAATTTTACTATCCGGTATCCGGCCGGATATTTACTATTATCCGGCCGGATACCGGATAAATTGTTTTTCATGAAGTATACTAGATTTCCGTTAATTGAAACATTAAAAATACTATAAAATAGAAACACAAAAAAAGAACATGTGAAAAAGCTAGCTACTGATATAATTAATTGAATTAAACTATTTGCAGCGTTTGGCACCAAAAGTTGTACTAAATCCCATCGCTCAAAAACTTTGGGAAGTTTTCGGAAACATGTGAATGGTGGAAAAGTTAAAAACATATTTTTAGTTAACCATAATTGATTATTTACTCGAAAATTAAAATAGTGTCACCTTCTGCACTAATACATGGATGAGAAATATCCTTATAATATATATTATAGGTGAAGTATTCCAATTGATAAAATATCCGGTATCTGGCCGGATTTTTTTCAGATATCTGGCAAATCCAGTATCCGGCTGGATAGTAAAAATCACTATCCGTTGCACCCCTAGAACATTGTCAACTTGACTTTAGTTTTACCGGAACTTTTTAACACATTGAGCACCAGTGCTCTCCCCTTGACAAGTAAAATCATCTGGTAAAATGAGAGTAAAATAATAACGTAGGGTGCTTTAGGGCACAATGGAACTTAATGGGTTAACAGTTGTGTAACTTTAATTTTTTGACCACTTGCCCTCAGGGCAAGTTGGACATGAAATTAGTTTCCCGGAATAGTATTTACTTGCCACCAGAAAATGGCCTCTGGTGTACCTAGGTAGGGGGTATAAATAAAGGGGACAACAGGTTGAACCGTTCTCCCACTGCTCTGTATGGCTATGTTATACTGCATCAGATCTAGATTTGACCCACAAACAAAATTTGAATCAAGTACATGCACTATAAAAAATTTATCCGACAATGTTAAAGATGCCCAGCTTGTGGCAAGGCAACTTGCCCTGGGCAAGCGTTAAGTTACACCTCTAAGTTAATTTAGTGCCAGTCTTAATGGACACATGTATATTCTTTTGTTTTAGCTTTTAAATTGTGATGATGATGATCTGCAAAAATTCACCGAGAGCGACAGTACTTGCAATATCGCTGATATCTTAACATCTTCAGGATTTCCGCATATTGTTGTCCGTCCTTCAAATAAGCAATTAGCATACGAGTGTTGCCTTATTTATGAAGTTGTCACTAAGCGAATTCCTGCATTGGATGACCTGCGAAAGGGACTGGCTTCTCAGGCTATGACTGGAAAACGGACCTTGCTTGACCCTGCAGTGGAGCACACAGAGATTAGAAACGTCGTCTTTCCAGAAGCAACTATTTGCATTGATTGATGTCCATGATGTGAAGAAACTTCTAAAGTACAGTCTCACTGAAGATACAGATGCCATAAATGCAAAATTGTTCTTTGAAAAATACTTGGATGAACTATCAGAAAGAGGTTAGGCCAACTTAATGAGGGGCAATATAAAGGTTGTAACTGGCTCACAGTTCACTTTTTTTGCAAAAGTTTTAAAGTGAAATAAGCTGTAAATTAATACTTTTGTTTGTATTTTAATATAGATCAGAGTGGAGATCAGGAATGTTTGCAAGATCTAATACAGTTCTGGACAGCATGGGCCATCTCTACCAACTATGGGTGAGGAGTTGAGTATGTCATTCCTCTCAAAGGAGGGAAACATTCTGCCTGTAGTTGATACATGCTTCAGACCACTTAAACTACCTGTTGCTCATGAAGACTTCAAAAGATTCATGGACACTTCTATTAGATATGGAAAAGTTGGAAGTGGCAGGCTATAGGTTTTCATTTGATTGTGACAGATTAAGTTACCTCAGTTACAGTATTTCCATGCAGTTTCATGGATGTAGTCTGTGACCATTCCTGGTGTTTCACACTAGTTAATTTCCTCCTGTTGGAATTTTCTGTTAGGATTTGTTGAACTATACCAATATATGATAAATCTTTCAAGTAATGCCCATTATATTCAAATGGTATATGTAACAGCATAAATGGTGTACATTTGTTGAGTAGGCTCCAAGCCTTTCCCATAAACACTAAGCTGTTATCCTACTAATTACCAACATGTTTTGTTATCCATATGTTGATATAATCTAGTTTTTGTAGCGCTATATAAATTGTACAGTAGCGAACCCTGCAAACTTATCAAAAGAGCTTTTTATTATCCATTTTCATGCAGTATGACAGTGGTTCTGATTGCCATGGCAATGCCAAATAAAAACATTAACTATTAAATGGCAAGAGTATTAACTTTAATGGTACAAAACAGATACTAGCATCAAACTTTGTACAATGTTCTGTTGGGTTAGAAGCTTGCAAATTATGTCTTGGTGTTTGACATTTACAGTAGGTACAATAGCTTGTTTCCATTTCCAATGAAATTAAAGAATTATATCAAAAATAATTTCACAGGGCCGAAAAAATCTGTACCTAAACTAATCAAAAGTAACTATAAAAGAACACTTTTTGGTAAGTTTGAGGGTCATTTACATTCTAGTTGAGTTGTGAGAACTATATTCTGTACATAAGTGTCTTGTTCATGTTTAATTATTAAGTTCTGTTTGGTTGATAATGTTAAGAGTTTGGCAATAAAGTTCACAGCCATGGTTTCCATCATCATCTAGTGGATTTATTGTATTATTCAAGTGCTGCTGTTGCTATTCATTTAAATGAAATTCAACTTCAGGTATTTGAACATTGTTATCAGAATCAGCATCTGGCAAAGGTCCATCATCATCCACTCCATAATCATTCCAATCATTATTACTTAGTAGACTTTGAATGGCACTGTAACCTGAATTCATCATTGATGTCACCCCTGCATGCCACAAAGAAAGAGTGGAGCGGTTGCCTTCTGTGCTCAATGGATGATTGTTCCAGTCAGCTGCAAACTCATTAAGAGCCCTATTTATTCTGGGAATGAACACATAGTGAAGAGCAAATAAGCATTTTTCATCCAGAACATCTAGCACACCTGATCTCTCTAAATGATGGAAAAGATGCTCATAATATCTGCCAACAACTCTTCTCAGGTCAGCCCACAAACGTTCAATCCTTTGATTGTGTGTGCTTTTTCCTGTAATGAAGCTCCCTCTATTTATCCCATGATTTGGGTGATCCAACATATAGCAAGCTACATCGACAGTTTCAGTGCCTAAATCTGCTCGAACCCTTGATGGTAATCCAAACCTCTCCACTGCATCAGTGAAAAGGTTAACAACTGTGTATACACAGTTGTTTGATGAGCACTTCAAATAAACAATACACCTACTGAATCCATCGATACCACCATGTGTCACCATTCTCCACTGAATAAGTTTATGATGGCCATCGATGTGCCTAAAATTTTGAACAGGACAACACATAAATAGCTCATTTTTGTTGAATTCATGCCATTAATGTCCGTATTCTAAAAGCTCACTCACACTCAATGAGTGGAAAATTCAGTCTGAGCATCTCTTGAGTGTCATTGCTGTTTTTGAATAGCTGGAGGGCTAATGTCATACCTTACTATGTGACTACTCGCCCTCCAGCTATTCAAAAACAGCATTGACACTCAAGAAAAGCTCAGATTGAACCTCCACTCATTGAGCGTGAGTGAGCTTTTAGAATACAGGCATAAGTGTTTTTCTTTCCACCTTTGGAGTGGAGGGGGTTATCAGATGGCTTATTCATATAATGAATGATATTATAATGAATGATATGCTAATAAAAAACAAATTTGAATAAAGAATGGTTTAGTGGGACCTTATTTGAGAGGGGTAGGTTAATAGGGAGACAGGGAGTTTATCATATGACAGAGTCAATACTGAAATGTGGGTTGGTCTGACATAATGTCACACTAGTTTTCATAACTATATTCAACTCTAAAACAAACCATCAGCCACCATTCTTGTTACAGACAATTTAATACACTTACCACAATGTATTTGGACATGGGACATTATCTAAGAATGGCCACAGATCGTCTCATTGCTTGACTGAGTGGATCCACCAAGCAAATTGCCTCTCGCACTTGGTACCTTTGAACATGGATCCCTCTATGTTGCAGTGCTCCCAAAACAAATGTTTCACCTGCATTAGGTAGAACCTGAAGAATTTGGGAAATATGTTGGCACAGTTGATTGTTGTCAATTTGACTGTAGCAGCTTCGTGGTCCTCTTGCATTGTTTACAACCATTCCATTTTGGTGACATCGCCTAAGTAAGGTGCAATAGCTTACTCCAATATTAGCAGATACTTCCTTCCAGCTGCGGTGAATTCGATGTAAACCAGATATGGCATCATTTGGTGTTGAATATCTCGGTCTTCCTCTAACGCTGTCTTCTCTGGGGCAACAAAAACGGTCCTCACTTAGAATTCTCGACTGGGAATTAAGATCATCATACTGTCTGTCCATTTGTTGCACTTCAGAAATCAAATGTCTTAGTAAATTATCACATTCGTCAATTTGTAGGTATGTGCACCGCCGAACAAGGACATTTAACACATGAAGACTGTCTTCAAGACGCCGCTGGATAAATTCAAGAACATTTGTATTGTCCGAGTGAAGATTTCTCTGTGCTTCGTCTAATTGTGTTGGTATATACCTTAAGAAAGCTTCCACATTTCTTCCCTCTTCCGCCATGTTGTTTGTTCTTTCCTGACTATTTTCCATACCCCACGTCGACTGTAAGTTGACCGCTAGTGCCCATGACTTTATATATTTTTTTATGTCATTGACATTGGCTTTATATATTTAATTTTGACCATATATATTTTGCCTTTGTGCATTATAAATATTTAATTTTGACTCTACATATATTATTTTTATACATTATATAATTACTTTCACTTTATATATTGTATCTAATCTTTATGTCACATTTGGTGCCCCATAAACTTATTTTATTATATGTCAAAATGATATAAAAAAATAGCACAGATTTTAAATATAGCACAATTTAAAATATAGCACAGATTTTAAATATGCAACTTTTTTGCATTTGTAATGGTTACCCTGTCAACAGGACACTCCCAATTCCTTGGTAACCACAATTGTCATTGTAGTAGTTTAGTTTTCAAGTGCAGAGTAGTAAAATGATTTGACACCTAAAATTATTTTGTTGATTCTGCTGAAAAGTACATTCAATGACCAATTACTGTATACAAAACACTTCTGGTCTAGCAGAAATTTTGGGAAGAAGCATTCAATGTGTGTTGCAAAAAAGTTGCAAAATATAGGTTGGTTGATAATTACATGTACTTGGCCTAACATTCAGCTGCATTTATTTACTACTTTCTACTATTTATCTGTACCTCAATGTTCAATTATTTATTGGTGTGTGTGGTGAATGCAGAAACATGGAGCTGCACACAGTCCAACATCCGCAATCCACGCACCAGTAGGATGTCTTCTTCGGTTTATCCTTCGTGGAGCAAACATGACATCTTCTTTCTTTTACTTTGCCCTTCTCATTGGTGGGGAGATGACTTGGAAAATGTCTCTCAGTTAGCCTTGCAATTAATTCCATGGAGGGACGACCTGGTCGTTTTCTTGAAGTAAAATCTCCAATAAGTTTCTTTGCGAGGTCAACACGAAATTCCTTCAAAGTTCGCTGTTCATGATTTGGCGACTCCAATTCCAATATATGGCCATTTACAATGCAGTGATCAAGCAATTAAAAATTTATATTGATCTAAAAACTTGATGGCATAATATGCTTTCATTTGATCATTTCGATCAACACCTCCCATATATTTGTTATATGAGGAAATCATCAATGGGCATTGCACATCCTGTCACTCACCGTCTTTTTTTCTCCTCTTCACTGGTTTTGTTGCTTCCAGAAGCAACCTCCAGTGTGGAAACTACATTGACAGGTTTGTTATCAATCCAAGTGACAGCTGTAATTGGACCCTTTCTTCTGAAAACACAAGTACCCCTTTCAAGCTTGTTGTTTGCTTTCTTATCATACATTTCTTTGGGGAAGCCGTGTCGACCCGATCTCAAAGTTCCACATGAAAGGATTTAATTGCAAAATAAAGTCTGCAAAAGTTCTAATGAGGTGAAAAAGTTGTCAAAGACTTCATGCCACTTTCCATATAGCACAGAGCACAGCTTTGTGAAAACAGAAAAGCCTAAATCATTGGTTACCCCTTCCCCACTCTTTCCAGTGTATATTTTGAAATGATTTAGATAACCATTGATGCCATCGGCTCTGCACCACATCTTTATCCCCCTTTTGATGGGTTTCATGGGCATGTACTGTTTTAGGGAACTTCTGCCTTTGAACTTGATCATCGCTTCATCAATAGCAACCTCTTTGTGTGGCACATATTGGGTTAGAAAGTTTGCACGAATTGAATCCAGGAATGGTCGAACTTTGAACAGTTTATCAAAGCCAGGAGTTCCCCTAGCTGGCATCTTTGAATTGTCTTTCAGATGCAAGTGTCGAGTAATTGTCTCGAAGCGAGCAACAGTCATTATCTGAGCTAATGGTGGTACCCCCAATATCCAGTCTCGGGACCAATAGTCACGAATACTGTGAACAGAGTGCATAGATATGGCAATACTAAGGCCGAATATGCTAGCAATTCAGTGTCAGTAATTCGCCTCTTTATCCGCAGTTGTGAGACATTGAAACGCATACTTATTTGTTTCACATACAATGTCATTAACAATGTTCATGCTAAACAATAGGAAAAAAAATCAAGGGCTGATTGCTGCGCTTTGAAGAATATTTACTGCACCCACCTGCTGTTGAAACTCACCGCTGCGAATCTCTGGCTCATCTTCGGCTTCCATCTCATCATTAGATTCCTCCCTTTCCAATTTCCATGTTGTTTTACTAAAATCATAGTAGGATGGTATTCTGAGGAGATTGGATATCTGTGCTTGTTGAAACAGTTCCCTCTTCGTCAACAATCTCCAGCATGAAGGTTGTCAAGAAACTCAGTATGTTCACCTATTTCAGGCAATTTACTATGGAAATCAACTTGTTCAGCATCAATATCTGGCTCAGAGTGTTCAGACGAAATGTCTGAACCCTCCCCATCGAAAGGAATGCCATAATTTTGATCCAAAAGATTGATTATTTCACGCGTTGTAAATTTATCCTGTCCTCCAGACATTGTTGACTCACATTACAACAACAATTTAAAGAGCCAAATCTTTATTTTCTCATAAAAATCGTTTGAAAATCGTTTTATAGTTGAATAATATACCAAAATGCTCGCAACAATGTTGTAAACACATTTATTTAACATACGGGACACTAGTGACTCTCAGGAGGGCAACAACTGGTTATAATTATCAGGGTCACGAGGTGTCCGATATATCCGGACACTGTGTGTTCTCTACATCTACATATGTTGAGTCGGTAAATTACGGACATCTGGACCAACTATTTACACTAAAATATTAAAATTACTTGTTATCAACATTAAAATCCATTATGATTAAACAGACATTAAAAAATCATTAAGGTTCGATTTAAAAAGTTCCACAGAGTCCAAAATAACAACATTTTCAGGCGTTTCTATTCCTTTATTGTTTTAGGGAAATACGAAAATTTGTAAACATCTTTTTTTGATCCTCGGGACTCTGAATTTAAAAGAATGACTACCATGTGTCCATGTTTCAGTGTGGGGAATCAGATGATCTTCCAAGTTCATATCCAATAGGTTGTGAGACATTTTATACATCATTGTCAATCCCACCCAAGTGACACTTTCCATTGGTTTATAGTTACGTAAGCAAAACCGAGCTGCTTTTCTTTGGACTCTCTCCATGTTGTACTTATCTTTTTGCGTATAGGGGATCCCAAACGCAACTCGCATATTCCAATTTTGGTCTCACAATTGACATGTACATCAGTTCCTTCACATCCTTTGGACAAAACCAAAAATTTGTTTAATCATACCCAGGGTTTTTCCAGCTTTGTTTGAAATCTCAGAAATATGATCTGACCATCTTAACTTATCAGTAACAGTCAGTCCTAGGTATGAAATAGATGTAACTTGCTCCAATTGCTTACTGCAGAACATATAAATCTCACGTTCAGATTTTTTAGTTGAGATACGTATGACTTTGCATTTCGTCGGATTAAACTCCATTTGCCATTTCAACTGCCATTGTTCCAGCTTAATTAGATCATTTTGAAGCTGGTCGCATTCAGCATCTCCCACAATAACTCCATACACTAACACATCATCTGTGAAAAGCCTGACATTGGAAGAGAGACCATCGGGTAAGGCGTTAATATACATGAGGAACAACAATGGTCCCGACCGTGCCCCTGTGGTACTCCAGACATAACAGGAACTGGCTGAGATGATTTACCCTCACAAACAACCGTTTAGAAGCATTCTTGAAGAAACGATTCAAACCAATTAAATAACGAATCATGTATCCCATAATACCATAATTTCTCTAGTAGACGTTGACGAGGGACCTTATCAAATGCTTTCGCAAAATCTAAAACTACAGCATGCACTGATTTATTCCCATTAATCGCTTTGGTCATGTCATGGATGGTTAGAATTAATTGCGTCAATCTCTTTGCCTGAAACCCATGCTGAACATCCGACAGAATATTAAATTTCTCTAAGTGTTTCATTACATGACTGTGAAATATATATGTTCCAGAATTTTACATGAAATACAAGTCAAGGATACTGGTCATAAACAAATAGCTTGCCGTTTTGGCCAAAGGCAAACACTGCTGTATTTGTTCCAAAGTAGGCTTTTTACACATGAAAACGTGGAAACAAAAAGTATTATAGAAATAGGTTTAAAAAAAATATTTTGAAACGCTATGTATCATTACTAAAATTAGAACGTGCATGTGTCTTGTGATCTAATTGCTCACGAAATGCATGTCAGGTTCAAGTAAAAAATTGTTGCTTTTATTCCTTTACCAACAAATTTGCATGCCTTCGATGTTTGCATGTACAATTGCACAAAATCAAAGGGTAAAATTTCAAATTAAGGATGTTGACGTAAGATTGCCCAGACTCATGTAAACACCTCTATATTAAAATATGCAACGAAATAGCTATTTACTGTTTCTCATGATCATTGTTTATAGCCATTGCTATTGTTGCAAGTTCGTCCAGCAAGCACTTATAGTCTTAGGCGGATGACTTGCCATTATTACTTTCCAAGTTACTGAATGACTTGCCAGTATTCCTTTTCTAAGTTGCTGTACCCAGTATTACTATTTATACTAGATTTGTTTTCATAAACTCCCTTGGCCTTACCAGATGATTTTCTATTGTCATTACTGTCAGTATCAGAGCTGCTGTAGCGTTTGCATTTGTTCTGTCTTTGAGATGATTTCTTTCTTTTATTTGACATTTTAGAACTTTTCCGTCGACATTTACCTTTTTTCTGATTGCTTCGCCGTTCCACAGAAGAATCTGTCGAGGTACTCAATGAGCTGTCACCGTCACATGATGAATCTGAATAACACATTTCGCGTTTGGACTTTCGTTTCTCGAGCGATTGAATGGGGGAAACATTTCATGTTATTTCGGTTTTATTTAAACCAGATGTAGCCATATATATGATGCCGATTGTCCACTGAAGGATGATTTAAAATCGTTCATCTTCGCAATTTGCTTGTCCAACAATTTTGTAAACAATTTTCATCATTTCTGGTTCCTTGTGGGATTTTATTCCCACATGCAGCTCATATAGTAGCTATGTTTTTCTGCAAAACTAATTCACCCTTTGAAGTTTTGAGTCAGTATTTCTCATCGAAAGCTTTTAAAGGATGTGTGGTTACGGCAGAAGAAAACGCTGAAGTACTTTTGGACTGGAATAACTCAATCAATGTTTTTCTTTTCCAGTTCAACACTGTCACTGTCAATTTCCTTATTTATGTCTTTGAGTTGTTTTTTTTTTCACTTTTAATTTCATCAAAATGTTCGGGGTGTTTATTTCTTTGCCCACACATATAATACAAGGTGCATGGACTAAGGTTACAAGAGTCGTTTCTCTGATTTCCCTTCGAATATGGCAGTTATCACAAATGCTTTGATAATTAACGGCAGCAGGCGGCTCAGGCACATTGAGCTCAAGTTCACGAATGTGCATTTCCATTGCCATTCTCTTATCATGTAACAACTGAAGTTTTTTCAAAAGTTCTTTTTTATTCTCTGTCCAGTCGGTCACTTGATGCAGGTCAGTACTTGAGGTTGGTGCAAAGTTAAGAGTTCTTGATGAAGTCCCAATTTTGTTCGGTAAAGAGTCGCATATTCTATTATCCAACATGTGGAGAAAAAACTGGCATAGAGATTTTTAAAGTATTGAACTAAAACTTGATACATAACGAAAATCAGCTGATCAAACACTAGCAATGCTGGGCCCTGTCAGCGACAACACTGGCCAAAGCATAAGAACTTATGCAAGACCATTGAGATGCTGGAAAAGCTTGAGCAAGAAGCTAACCATGTTGCCCCGGGAGATAATCCGAGATTTATCCGAGTCACCTGTCACCTAGACAACATACCTGTGTTGCACAGCTAGTAGGGAATAAGTGCTCTGTAAACTGTCATTTACATGGGCAAACTGTGACTGCATTGTGGGACACCGGTGCCCAGGTCTCAATTGTTTCAGAAACTTTCATGCATAAACAGTTGTTGACAAGTAAACTCAGAAATGTGGAAGAACTCTTAGGAGTACAAAGAAAAATTGAATTGAAAGTTGCAAATGGCACGCCAATTCCATATTGTGGTTGGATTGAACTTAGCGTGAGGTTAAATGAAACTGAACCCGACATTTTAGTACCGTTTTTGGTAACCAAAGAGAATATTGGACCTCCAATAATTGGATTCAATGTCGTATAACTAATTGTTGAGGAAGCCAATAGTATAAGTGATGATACAGAAACATTTGTGAATGCAATGAAGAAAGGTTTTCGTAGTTGTAAGGGGGAGAAAGTACAAGCGTTGATAGATCTTATTTCAGCAAATGAGCCTGATGAACTTTGTCAAGTAAAATGTCGCAAGACAGATATTTTGATTCCGAAAAATCAAAGTATTGATGTACCTTGTTGTGTGAACACTGGTCCAATAAAACCGCACTGTTCCAGTTCTTTTTTAACCTATTGACAATACTGAATTACCATCAGGGTAATTATTACAAGAGAAACTTAAATCAATAAAGCAAGGGAACTGTTCACTCATAAACGTTAAGATTACAAATCAAACAAATCACAACATTATTCTTCCTGGTAGAACAGTGGTAAGGCATCTGCAACTGGTTCGCTCTGTAACTCTGATTGAAGTGAAGCTTAAGGAACCTAAAGCAACTACTAGTCAGCACTCTGATCAAACTCAAAGTAAGGAATGCAACAACGTGAGTGCTGAAAACTTGCCTCCTGTAGACCTGACTGGGTTAAATGGTGAACAGTTAAAACAAGTTAAACAATTGTTGTACGATGAGTGTGAATCTTTTGCACAAGATGATTATGATGTGAGATGCATTCCAGAGTTGACAATGGATTTAACTATGACGAGTGAGAAACCTGTCCAGAAAAATTATGCATCAATACCGCGACCCTTGTACCCCAAGGTCAAAGGGTACATAGAGGATCTCTTAAATCATGGATTTATTAAAAAGTTGAAATCACCATATTCAAGTAGTGTCGTTGCGTCCGAGAGAAGGACGGAGGAATGCGGTTGTGTGTAGATTATAGGGAACTAAATCGAAAAACTGCCTGACCGACATCCAATACCTCGAATACAAGATTCACTTGACAGTTTGTGCCGCAAATCGTGGTTCAGTGTCCTTGACCAGGACAAGACCTATCATCAGGGATTTATGGGAACAAAAAGTCAACACCTCACAGCTTTCATAACTCCTTGGGGTTTGTATGAATGGGTGAGAATCCCTTTTGGCTTAATGAATGCCCCTGCCAATTTTCAACATTTCATGGAACACTGCCTCGACAAGTTAAGAGATGAGATCTGTATTGCTTACATAGACGATGTGATTGTGTTTTCCAGCTCTTTCACTGAACACATCGAACACTTACGTAAAGTGCTCAGATGGTTGCAAGAGTGGGGAGTCAAGCTTAAACCAAAGAAATGTAACTTATTTAAACAAGAGTCTCATTCTGTGGTAGATTAGTATCGCAGCACAGGTATTGCATGGACCCTAAGGCAACAAGCGCAGTTCAGATGTGGAAACATACAACACCGCCTACTGTTGGTGATGTTCGAAAGCTGGTGGGTTTGTTATGTGTTTACCATAGGCATATTAAGAACTTCTCACAGCAAGCAAAACCAATCCATGATCTGTTGAAGGAAGAAAACGGTAAAGTTGGATGGAAAAATAACGTACAATCTTCTCGTAATCTAGTGCAGTGGACCACAGAACATTAGAGGGCACTAGAAAGTCTAATAGACCAAATAATATCTCCAAGGTTAAAGCTCAAGAAACGGGTGACATCTGGATAACCGCCGTAACCGCTGATGAGAAAGAACTACAGCCTGATAAAAACTATGAGGCAATGCCTGCTGGTGCAAGTAAACTAAGGGTCGTGGACATAGTCAAAGCACAACATGTCCAGAAAAAATCCATCACGACATGGGCGGGGAGTTTGCGAACAATCTTTTCAAGTGATTAGAACAATTAACCGGCATAATGCACTCTCGGACTACACCTGTGTACCATCCTCAAGGTAACTGCATAGTTGAGCGGATGAATCATACTTTGTTGGGCATGCTGCGAACATTACTAGAGTCATATAAGTCAAGATGGAAAGATCACCTTAATAAACTCGTTCATGCGTACAATTGCACTGTACAAAGTCCACGAACTATTCACCATTGTATCTACTGTTCGGTAGAAGTCCCAGACTACCCATTGACTTAATGTTTGACTTGCCAGACAAAGTGGAAAGTAATTCACGATCAGATTATGTATCGAAGTGGAAAACTGCAATGATCGAGGCTTACCGAATTGCTCATGAAGCTACCACGAAAAGTGCTGAAAAAGGAAAGAAGAACTATGATCATCGCATACGCTATATAGACTTACAACCAGGACATTGTGTTCTTGTTTGAAAACCTTTCACCGAGGGGAGGACCGGGGAAACTTCGAGCATTTTGGGAAGGAGGTACACATTTTGTAGTTTGTTCTGTTTCCGTAGCCATTCGAGGTATATAAAATCCTCAGTGACTGGGGATAGCAACGGTAATGACATAATTTTTGTAAACAATTTTCAACTCTTGCAAGATTGCTCAATATATGTGGTACAATTTTTGTCTTCTAAAAAGAAACCTCTTTTCAAAAAATTAAATCTAAATCACGATTTTGTCATATTTAAAAAATTGTAGGGAGCCACCTTAATCAGGATTATAAACCTGTGACGCCGTCTTTTGTTTCATTACTTATCTTGACAATGTTTCAGAGAATGAAATTGAATCAGAATGTTAAACTCAGACTACGCTTACATGGTATCAGATGAATTTGGAACCACACTGTTCACAAACTAGACCTGAATTAATTTGTTGCAAACTTGCACAGTTAGCTATCATTGACATTATTATTACAATTGTAATCGGTCAGTTGCAAGTTTTATAACTTTAGGTTACCAAAATCTAGGCAAAACAGTGCAAAAATACAAACAATATATAGCAAATATTACTGCAAAAAATGCATCGCTCCATTTTTTGTTTGAGTAAGTGTTACTAATTTTTTTTGAGTAATTGCATTAATTACTCTTTTTATCGTTTGAATGTTTGGCGAAGCAGTGAGTATAAATATATGATTGTTTCGGTTTGTATAATGTTCGACAGCACTTGACCCCCCGTTCGAAAGGTTATTTTGTGAGGATTACAATGGTGGGTTTTGTTTTAAAGGGGGGTAAATACTCGCCGCGATATTTACATTTGAAAAATTGAATCGTAATGTAATGCGAAACTACTTGTCGACAAAGAGTTAATTAAACATAAATGTCAAATCCTTAATTTCCCTGTCGATTTCAATCTGTCCTTGTAGGTCATGTCACCTTTCTTCGATTGAAGGATCCATCTTGTTGCAGGCCTTTGCACTTGCTCCAGATTTAATTTGTTATTATATTGGGAGGGAGACCAAACCTCTGTGGCATAGCATAATTGTGACTTGACAAGTGAAAGATACAGAGTGCGCCAGATACTGCAGTCTGTTAGCAAGGGGCATGTTCTTCTAAACAAACCCAGCAACCTGTTCGCATTGACTTTTATATTATTGATATGGGTAGTCCATGAAAGGTTACTGGTCACTGTGATTCCCAGATCAACTTCATCATTCACACGCTTCAATTCGGATGATCCCAGATAATATTCGAAAAGAAAATGTGTTTTACGGCGGAAGAATGTCAAAATTTTACATTTTGAGGGAGTAAAGTTGATGTTGTTATCCTTACTCCAAACATCCGCACACGACAAAGTTTCTTGTAACTGTGAACAATCCTCTGGAGTTGAGATTTCTCTATATAATTTGGTATCATCAGCATACAGTCCTGTTGATGTAGATTCGGGAATGACATCAGGAAGATTGTTGATGAAGAGTAAGAAAAGCATTGGACCCAAGATGCTACCCTGTGGAATGCCAGAAGTGACGGGGGACCATGACAAAGCAGCACCCTCTACAACAACACACTGGGTACAGTTATGCAGGTAGTCAGAGAACCATCTGTAAAGGTTTCCTGCTATACCGTAATCTTTCAGCTTTCTTAAGAGAATAACATGATCCACTGAGTCGAAGGCTTTGGCAAAGTCAAGAAATAGAATGTCCGTCCGTCAAGCAATTGTCCAACACAATGTAACGTTGAAAGAAGCTGTGTAGTACAAGAACGGCCATGAAGAAATTCATGCTGAGCTTCGTTAATTGAATCTCGGATATGTTCGTAGAAACGATTACAAACGCATCGCTCCAAGACTTTGCTGATCATAGATAGCAGTGAAATTGGACGGTAGTTGATAGCTAGTTCTTTCTTATCTTTCTTATGAATTGGTGAAACATCAGCTGATTTCCATTCAGATGGAACAGTACCAGTATGTAATGAATGATTAAAGACTTAGCAAAGATTGGGGCAATGGCATAACTGCATTCCCTCAATACCCGAGAAGGCTATTGGGATGGGAAGGAAGGCTATTGCCAAATTTTAATACAAACACACCGCCAAAACTCATTGTTAAATTTACTCACCGATCTGTTAGGAATAATTTTTACTCCAAACGAAAGAACTTGGCAAATGTTAAAGTAAAGGATCTACCAGATCTGTCATTAAATTCATCCAACAAAGTCTTTATATTCGAATCATTAATGCCCTACAGGAAGAAACTTTTTGGAAATGTCAATCAGGTACGAAAGAGGTTGAACTGGCGTTTTATATGGACCAATAATGGGAAAATCTATACTCGAGAATCAGAAAATACACCTATATTTGCTTTTGAAACGGAAGAAGATTTTTCAAAGTTCGAAGCAAATCAACCACCGGCAAGACAATTAAGACTGCGTGCTCGTTGAAGCGGATATATCGCAACAATGGATTAACATTTAAGTAATTAAGTTTAAGACTTATCTTAATATAGTTTAAAGATATAAATATTCACAATATTAGCAAATGAGTGCCGATTATTGTAAAGAGCTGCCATTCTTTGATTTAAGTCACCGCGAGTTCCTTAAAGTAACAGGGGCATGGCTTGATTCTAGCTTGTATTCTTTGTTAGAAACTAATGATTTATTTAAAGATATAATTAAAAGTCCTGAAAAACTTGACCACGAAAACGCATTAGAAAATTATATTGAATCGAAATACTATAGTGTCAAGAAAACTGGAACCCTAATTGAGCGCTCTAGAATTAAAAATGGTTTT